AAAAAAAAAAATCAAGCTCTGTTCTTGCTTGAATGACTAATTTTTAATGATCTCAGCAATTATCCAGCAACAGCATTCCAATCAATTCCCGATTGACAAAATGAAGTCCTGCTCTGCACTTTTTCTCATTTGAGAAGCTGTTGTGCTTGGATGTCAGTATAGGGTAAACAAAGACAATTGCAACTTGGGTTTTGTGGTGATTTAAAAAAAACAATAGTATCTCTTTGACAGTAATGGTTTTATTTTTGTGATTTCAATTGTTCAGTGTAAAGTTCCATGTTGGCTGTCCACATACAAGGCATTTTTATGCATAATTTATTCAATGCCTAATTAGAAATCATAGAAAATTGTTTTATTTTGTATTTCTTTAATTATGAAAATGTTAATGTCTTTTCAATTACATGTCATGACAGCAAAAACAGAAGTGTCAAATTAAACAGTTTGAAACAAATGAAACCTTGTCGAAAAATAAAAAAATGTAGGGTGTAGACTTGGTTTAGTCAATCAGTTGTTGATTGGATGCAGACAGATATGTTTACAATAAGATCAATAACATGCATTTAGGTGAATTTTAAGGTGAACCATCCCGACTTTAATCTGTCTTTGTTTAGACCCTGAAGTTTCTCACATGGGAGTCTTGGTTCCATCAAAGAGTTACAGAGTCACGGGCCAGGGAGCTGGAGATGCTAAGAATTCTGGGATATCTGACAGCATTCTCTATGCTCAACTCTATCTGTATGCCTTTCCTGGTGAGTGCTTGATATTCAGGACAAATACCTTCATGAAAAAACTGACACAGCTTCACCAGGTTCATCAGCAAGATGGGCTGACCATCAGGTTTTTTTCTAGTGCTACTAGTTATCTTACTATATAATCTAGTCAAGAAACCTTGTTGGTTAGTGTTTAGATATTCCATATCCTTACTAAAATTGTTTTTTTGCTCACTACTGCTAAACTACCCTCTGTGACTTTGACTTCAAATTACCTTGCCTCTCTTCTCCAGATGCACAGGGGCTTACTAACTAAACAAATCCACAGAGCTCTGAGATTAAAACCCAAATCAAAGTCTATCATAGATTACAACCTGAGATCAGAACATTTTGGTCCCCATCATTCCACGCTTTCATCAGAATGGACGTGGCCTGTCACTGGACAGATGAACTTAATATCTTCTTTGACCCATATTTCCCATACTCTTTATCTTTCTGTGCAGGTTGGTTTCTCTAGTATCGGTGTGTTTGTGCTGGTGGATGATGGGAATGTTCTCACACCGTCTCAGATCTTTACATCCCTCTGTTTCTTCAGATTGCTCCGCCCACCTCTGCTGGAGCTCCTTGGGCTCTTCT